ACAAACTATGGGTCTCGCAAACCACCCATTTTCTCACATAAAAAGTCACGTGATCATAAAAATTTTTTATGTCAAAAAATTGCCCGACGTGGATCTATATATGTGTAAAGTTTCAATATTGTCACTCTAACAGTTCCAGAGGAATCGACCAAGAAACACAACCGGTTAATTTTGAACACCCTTATATATAATGAGACAACTAATATTTAACATTTGCATTGTAGTTGTGACTGTCAATTAGATTTGAGAATAAAATTATTGAGTAGAATTTATTATAATAGATATTTCTATTGTATTAATTTGCTATATTTGACCACAAAATGGTTTATAAGCTAATTGTATTAGTTATTGTCATCATGGCAAATGTGGGCCCTATATTCACCTGGGTGGACATTCCAGAATACGAGATCCAATTCTTGAATGGCACGGGAAGTGGTCTATACGAACAGCTATTCTATGATATGAGACCTCAGTCGCGACCATCAAATAATTTTAATGCACTTAATCTGACACGTTTTACCCGATTCAGACAACTAGCTACTCCGTATTATATAATTAATGGTAACGACTCGTTTCTATATACATTTGATTCTGGAAAATACGTGGCAAAAAATGTGCTAGAAGTTTCATTAGGGAGGTATTCATATACTACGTCAAGTCCAACATGTAAGTTCCATGATAATCTTTATAATACTGCTTATTTATTTATTCCCTACTATTCATAAACATATACTAAAGGGATTGTCGATACCGTGGTAAGAACTGATAATAACGTGGTAAGACTCGCCCGGCTACCAATCGATCACTACGCTATTACGAACACCCTGGGTGAAATTCGCTTTGAAAAGCCAGCCATTGTGAGTGTGTTGTGTGCATAATGTCATACATTTTATTGTTTGCTTAAATATTTATACGTAAAATTCAGGAGTCGTTCGGTAAGGCGTTGAAAACGGATGAGATATTAACCAAAATCATTGAAAACAACGCCGACATTGAGTTGAGAGAAACGATTGAGAAAACAGTGGAAACCATACATAAGACGGAAATTACATTTTATCGCAGCTTTGAATCCTATGGCGAAATTGATATACGGACACGATTTGCGTCCGGTTTTAGTTTTTCATTTTTTGGTTTATTTGAACCTAAGATTGACTTTGAGATTGAGTCCCAATTCAAGTCCGGCTTCAGATCCCTATCCATAGGCAACAAATCCTACAGCGATTTCCGGCGCCAATTGTTTACATTGAAAACCGATATAAATGTCAAACCATTTATGAATATATCCATCAAAGGGCTGATGAAAAGTGTGAAGGATATGGAGATTGAGTTCACTGCTGTCCATACGTTCACCGGCACTGACCCGAGGGGTGACCGTAAGGAACCGTTGGATGGGTTGACACTGTTTTTGCTGATCGGCAAAGAGGACAACAGACACGGCGTAATCATTAACAACGATTCACTTGTGATCAATCAAAAAGGTTTGTATCGTGGTACTTTTGGTATTGAGACCTATACTCGTATTAAACAATTAAAACTAGCCTCAAAACAAGATGAAAATAAACTTGTTTACGACTAATTATTATAACAATTGGCTTTATTTTCTATTTTTTAATTACAATATTTTTATTTTGAACTTAAAAAGAAGGATAGCCGCCCCTAATGCATAGCTGGCCCCGCTGGCCTGGTCACCATTTAACATAATATGAATTATTTGCAATGAGAGGTCCTTAGATAAAACAAAAGACAAATCACATCAACAAATAAC